TAGGGGGCTGTGAGAGAGATGGAAACCTGTCTCTGCCACTGGAGAAGGCAGAGGCTACTCACTAGAGATCAGGGAAGACACTGTTTTAAAACACAGCAAAATGGAAGGTGGCAGTTAAATTAATATGCAATGGGGATATAGAAGATGTGGGTGGACAGAGAAAGCATGTGTGGAGAGATAGGAAGAGCTTAGGGTGAGATGGCTGGATGGAATGTAGCTTGGAGAAAGGAATTGTGGAGTAAATGGTTGGTGGGGAATGAATAGGAGGCACGTGACTAGGGCATTGGATTGTGGGAATATAGCTGGGAGGACAATTTGTTGGGGAATTATGGCTATGAGCAATAAATTAGGTGAATATATATTTAGCAGTGAATTAGACGAATATGGCTTTGGAGGGAACAAATCGGAAGAATGATATTGTAGTTATAGAGGGACTTTATTCTATATATCAATTCAGGAGTGTTTTTAGAGGTGATGACAAATGGTGGTGACACCAGAGTGGGGAATGAAGTAGGGAAGCAAAGGAAGAGAAAAATCAAATAGGGTAGGAGGAAATCTTCAGTTTATTTGAAAAGGGTGTGGTAAGTGTTCGGGTGTTTTGGTCGGGGCAGTATTTCATTCTTGGATCAATGTAGCACAATGTTCTTGGGCCATCCCTGATGTAGTTCCCCACTCAACAGCAGCTTTGTATATGAAAAACTGTTAAGCAAACTAATAGAAGTTACAGTGTAGCTTTTACTGCATTATTCGAAGGATCCATTTGTGTTGGTGGGCTTATAGCTGCAAAGGTAGTTTTCAAATGGCTCCTGTTTTAAGCAACAGTGTGTAGGTGACGAGAGAAGAGGAGTGTAGTGTGTCCTTTTTAAGTAAATATTACATATTGCGATATATCAATGTGTATTTATATTTTTGTGTGTAGAGTCGGTGTGAATGCATGTCTGCAGTTGTAAATATAAGTGCTTATTTCTTATCTAGTGCCACTGTGAATGTATGTGTAATTGGATGTGTAATTGGATAAAATGTCAGTATGTATGAATTCAGACGTTTATCTGAGTATTGTGTCATAGGTTATGATTGCAGCGGTTTTTTCTATGTCGTGTCAGCAGGTGATATGTTTACGTAGTGTAACTGTGCAGGACAGCAGGGTTGTATGGTTTTGTTTAAGTATGTAAATATAGGGTGCGGTTTCTGTTTGTTGCAAGTGTGAATGCAGGAATGTTTTTATGGAGAGTGTCAGTATGTGTAAATGAATGTGTGTGTCTCTGTATTGCAGTTGTGTGCACATTTAGCTTCATAATCATGGATATTGCAATTACAAAGTAGTATTTATTGGTTTTGCAAACCTCTGTGTGCAAATGTAGGTATTTTTATGTGTTGCAAGTGTGTGATTCTGAATGTGTTTTTACTTCACCCTAAGCCCCCTCTTATGCTTCTCTCTGCATAATACCCTCTTATGTATCTTTCTCTATATTCTCCCACCATATGTGCCTCATATCGTCCCCATTGTCTGGTTAATTACATGTTCCAAGCCCCCAAAGTGTGGATTTTTCTCTTAAAGGACCACTATAGTGCCAGGAAAACATACTAGTTTTCCTGGCACTATAGTGCCCTGAGGGTGCCCCCACCCTCAGGGACCCCCTCCCGCCGGGCTCTGGAGAGAGGAAGGGGTTAAACACTTACCTTTCTCCGGCGCCGGGCGGGGAGCTGTACTCCTCCTCTCCTCCTTGCTCGCGACGTCATCGGCTGAATGCGCATGCGCGGCAGGAGCCGCGCACACATTCAGCGGTGCATAGGAAAGCATTTACAATGCTTTCCTATGGACACTGCGTGCTCTCACTGTGATTTTCACAGTGAGAAGCACGCAAGCGCCTCTAGCGGCTGTCAATGAGACAGCCACTAGAGGCTTTGGAGGCTGGATTAACCCGCAGTATAAACATAGCAGTTTCTCTGAAACTGCTATGTTTATAAAAAAAAAGGGTTAATCCTAGAGGTACCTGGCACCCAGACCACTTCATTAAGCTGAAGTGGTCTGGGTGCCTAGAGTGGTCCTTTAAGCTCTTTTGTGTGTGTCTCTTCTCAGTCCTGATTATTACATAGTTGCATAGTAATCTAGGTTGATAAAAAAAAAAAAGACAGCTCCATTGAACTTTTTAAGGTTGTTGATCCAAAAAAGGGCAAAATAACAATTGAAGCGATGGCCAATTTCAAATATATATATATATATATATATATATATATATATATATATATATAATTTTTAGGTGTTTTTTTTTTTTTTTAATCTTCTTGAATTCATGGCAATCACATTTCTCCTTGAATTGATAACTAGCATAGCAATTATTAATATCCTTGAATATTCTGTTTTTTTAAATAAAAAAAAATCTGATAAGACATTCTATCTCTATTCACGTTCCTTAGGCCTCATTACACAAATTAGCTAATAGAAACAAAACCCCTTTTATTTCTCCTCTCCTATCCTGTAGCGTGGAGCTACCTGTAAGCAGTGTTTTGTGTTTAGGTAGTGTGTTTTGCAGTATTGGCTGTTGCCAACACAGCCTGCTCTACCTGTGGTACTCCAGCACACCTAAGGGGCACCGTGTGTATTTTGATATAATGGGTAAGATTTATCGATGTCGTGTTCTGAAAAATTGTACTAAGTGCTAAAAGTGGGGCAATCACCATGTAAATCAGTGAAAGCAGCAGGCACAATCCATTGGTGAAAACTCTACTTTTACATCTTTAAAACCCTATCCTGTATCTCAACCTCATGCACATGGCACTCATTCACAGGCTGCTGCGTGATTCTCTAAGCCAATCTGTAGCTCCCCTTTTATAAAAAGAAAACTGCTTGAGAAAGATACATATTTTTCTCAAGCTGTTTTGTGAATGGGAAGCTACTGATTGGCTTAGCGTGTCAGCAAGACCTCCATTGGTGGTCAGGCTTTTGGCAGCCAGGGATCATCATTCATTCTTAGACTGGCAAAATATTGTTGAACATTGGAAGGAGGGACTATGCCAAGGGACTCCATGCACTAAAATTCAGTGAATAAGATGAACAATTAGTGAACTGTGTGATCTTCTTTGGTATATGCTTTGAATGTGCTTCCCATCAGTAAAAATAAGTGATAAATATCAACAACAAAAAACATGGTGACTATGGTAACTCAAGGTGAGACCCCTTAGAATTAATTTTAATTGTTATATAATTAAATCATATGAAATCAAATTTTAATTGTGTCATAATTTTTAAAAGTCACATTAACTTTGATTAAAAAGGACTAGCATTTCTCATGTGTTTTACTAAACTGGGTAGACAACCAGGTTTAATTTACGCAGAAATATATCTGATGTGGGTATGTACAAATCTGAGGAAATCTGGATTTAAACTCTTGCATGCCTTTCTGGAACACATATATATTTTTTTTAATTTACAGAAGCAGTGCATTTAAAATCTTGTGTGCTTTACAATATATTGTCCTGTGGCTGTCATGTATAACTGGTATATTTTTTTACAGATACATTTTTATTAAGCAGAGATGCAATTAAAATGTCATTTGGAAAGAATATGTGGTTTGTTAACTAAGCAATGCACTGAAACACACATTTGCAAGCATTTGTCTGAAATAGCTGACTTGGAGGTATAACACATTTTTCCTGACTCGATAATGATGGCCAATTTGGGGGGTGGGAGAGGGGCGAAAATCACATAATTTTCCTATTTGTTATTTGGTCCGTATTGCACAATGTCGATTGAATCATCACATATCACTTAGTAACATCCATTGTCTGTTTTAAAATAAACCAATCGCAAAAATCATAGGATTCACATATTTAGCAAGTGCTAAATTTCAATTAGATACACTTTGCTGCAATTTGCTAAATAAATTTATCTCATATTTGCAGGTTACATATATCTTCAATAATTGCCAACTACTGTTGACTAAAATAAATTTATTTTAAAAAATATATAAAATGTCCTTCCTTAAATATGTTTTAATTTCTAGGAAAATGGATCTAACGGAGTTTGCAGCCAAATAGCTGCCATTATTTTCTAATATGAGCATTAAATCCCTTGATTCATGCGATCTCTTATTGTCTAAGAAGGCTTCAAATGCCCTCCACTTTATTCATATAATTGTAGCTAGATCTATTTTTGTCTTAAGTGAATAAACTCCTAAATGACTGAACATCCATCATCTACAGACAGTGCAAAACTTGCAGTATAACTGGCTTCACTATAGTTCATTGTAAATTCAATGTAACCTATTAGATTAATAATAGGTCGTGGAAGCCTTTGCCACCCATGTAAAAGAAGTCTATTAGTTGTATATGTTTGTTCTACCTGTCCTAGAAAGTTGTAATGGCTGCCAATGTTGACTGGATTTAGAGGAACACTAGTGTTACATGTTTCCCTAACACTATACTGTATTGTAGATGTTTGGGTGTCTTATCTACCTCTGCTCACAGCTCTCTCCATGGCAACCCGCCTCCTTGATGATCAGGTAATCAAATGCTTCACCATTGGCAAGCATGCAGAGGCTACTGCGAATGTGAGGCAAATCGCTCTAGGGCAGTATTTGATTGAGATCTGATTTTGACTCAGTTCTCAGTGAGAAAGTGCCCCTAGTGGTTGTCTAGAAGACAGTCACTACAGGGATGTTAACCCTGCAATGGAAATATCGCAGTTTCTACAAATCTGACACATTTTAAATTGCAGGGTTAAAACTGCAGGGCCACATCTTCATTGAGATGGTCCTTCAAGGAAAATTCAACTATGCAAAATAGGGTGCCAAACCATCAATTTTTTCCTTTCGTTTTAGGTTTCCTAGATGTCCATTTTTTGGAATTAGGAAATCAGAATTCTATCATGCATTGCTTGAAAGTGTTGCTTTGAGGACGTGGAAACTGTGTGCTTCTAACAAAGCACAGCACCAAATTTAGCAAGCTAAACTTTAAATGGAAAAAATATCTAAAGTTGGAAAAAAAAAATTAAAGTTCTGCTACCTTACCATGATATCAGCAGATAATTTTTTTGGAGAACACATATGAATGTTGTGCCATTATGTATAAAAAGTATCCAGTAGTATTCAATATGGATTCTACATACAGCCTGAGGTACTTTTCCTGCACAGCCCCACAGCGTAAGGTAGCTCATAAAAACATGGTGATGTGGCGGCCTTCAGTTAAAGGACCACTATAGTGCCAGGAAAACATACTCGTTTTCCTGGCACTATAGTGACCTGAGGGTGCCCCCACCCTCAGGGACCCCCTCCAGCCTGGCTCTGTAAGGGGGAAAGGGGTTAAAACTTACCTTTTTCCAGCGCTGGGCGGGGAGCTCTCTGCCTCCTCTCCTCCTCCGATCCGCCCCGTCGGTTGAATGCGCACGCGCGGCAAGAGCTGCGCGCGCATTCAGCCGGTCGCATAGGAAAGCATTTAAAATGCTTTCCTATGGACGCTGGCATGCTCTCACTGTGAAAATCACAGTGAGAAGCATGCAAGCGTCTCTAGTGGCTGTCAATGAGACAGCCACTAGAGGATTAGGAGGAAGGCTTAACCCATTTATAAACATAGCAGTTTCTCTGAAACTGCTATGTTTATAAAAAAAAAATGGGTTAACCCTAGAAGGACCTGGCACCCAGACCACTTCATTAAGCTGAAGTGGTCTGGGTGCCTAGAGTGGTCCTTTAATAATTACACACTGCAGAATGTTTTAACTAAAACCAGCCTCTAATTTGGTTTCTTATTTTTTGTTTATAAGCTTTCATGATTAAAATAACATTATGGAAAGTATTTTACCAATTTAATTGTCTGAGCTGAGAGCTGTGCTGCAAGGTGTATTCACTAAAAAGTTAGCAGCGGTTAAATGAAAACTGAATAGCTAATTTAGGAATATGTGGAATTTTATTTAACAATGTCGCTGTGGCCCTTTTTTTTCCTTCTTTTTCTAACCATGGATTTTCAGTGGCCACAATTGATGAAACAAGTCTTAAGTGATTTGCAGCGCTCCACGCGGCGCTAAGAAGATAAGAATATGTGTTGACTCAGATGATGTATCTGTTTATATACAAAAATAAATTGTAACATGGTTCCCATGAAGTTTCTTTAACCAGACATCCTTTAAAAAATTGCCAGAATTTTTTTTTTTTTTTTTTTTAATTGAACAATGCTCCAGACTGTCTTGGTGTTCTTAAGATAAAGATAAGATAAAATAACATACAATTCTATATTCCTAAACTCCAAGCATCCAGTGATTTAGTCATAATTTGGAACCCCCGTCCCTCCCTCCCAAATTAAAGCTCTAATGACCTGGTTCTTTGGGACGTCAGAGAAAATCCCTCAAAGGCACAGCACAAGAACATAATTGGGCAAACTTGCATGAGGACCCATTCTGCAAGGTTCTTGACATGCCTGGGTGGCTAGTTGGCAAGGCTAGCACTCTGAATGTGGCTGCCGAATGTATATATGTGCAGGTTTCACCCCTTGCATGTCAATGATACATGAGTAGCAGGTACTGTTAGTCAGTATATGTCCTTGGCATGCCATCCACTACAGCCTCGAACTTTCCCTTCCTGACTTATTATGGAGCAAATTTGCAAAGAATGTTCATTTCCATTTTTAAGAGATGAAATGCACTTCTACAAAATAAAACATCTTCAGTCTGTACCAAGGAATACACCAGTCAGAGGTTACTCATTGAGGGGAGAGTGGAAGGGGCAAGGCAGTTAAGGAAATACTGGCAGTGCAGCAGGTGTGAATGCACCAGGGCCCCAGCCAATAAGTATGCCTGTTGTCACAAGCCATTGTTAAATACAGGCACAGCAGCCAGGGGGACCCAATTGTCAGCACTGGCATTGCTAGTAATTCTGCCTCTTGAGACAGTGAGACAGGGAGGCACAGGGGAGAGGCACAGCAGGAAAGAGAGATGGACTTGGGGAGGGTGATTGTGTCCATGTGTGTGTGTGTCAGCATTTGTGGATTTGCATGTATGAATATATGTGTATATGCACATGTGTGTCAATCTGTGCATGCCTTGTGGAGTGCATCAGTTTGTGACAAAGTATAAGTGTGTGCATCTGTGTATCTGTTGGAGTGTTTCTCTGGGTGTGTTTGTGTGTTTATGTGTGTGAAAATGTGCATATGTATATGTGTGTGGTAATGTATGTGTATATATGAATACGCACCTTCATGCAAACATCAACAGTTTACACAAAACACACCTCTGCATTCAAACATAAACAATGTATATAGAATCAGCCATGCACTCAAACACTAATACTACACACAAACTCATACATTCAAACGCAAACTCTACACACAAACATACCCCTGTATCCAAACATTATATACAAATACACAAACATTCACACACATACACCTATATTCCCACATTGACACAAACTTCACACAAATACAACTGGCACAATTTCATGAGAGTTGAAGATCTAGTTTTTTGTCCACCCCTAGGCAAAATATTGCACCAGAGACCTCTCTTTATTAGTCCCACCACTGAAGCCAAGCGTACGCTAGCCAGCGTCCCTGCTACTTCCGTTAGTTTAAGGAAGAAATCAGCACTTTTAGAAACTGTCACAAATATTTCAGATTCAAGACACATGAAGTTTAGCAAATTGAAGTGCTTTATTTGTCTGGAGTGTTTCTCACAAGGCTGTTATTAAGCAAAGGCATATGACCCACATTCATTGGACAGGGTATGAAAAATGCTTCCCAACTACTGCATCTGTGAATGTAAATCCTTACTATTCTTTGAAACTATTCTGAATTGAATTCAAATTTATAATGCAGCATGTATTTTAATTCTATGTATTCTTATTTTATGGAATATTTAAATGCCAGGATTTGAATTTCTAAATTTTTACTAGCAGGTTTATTTTTAAAAAAAATGTAGTGTGTGTTAACATTCATGCAAAAGTATATTTAAAAATATTCATTGATCTTATTTAAATTGGTAGATTTAGTTAAGCAAGATCTGGTGAAGAATATGTTTCTGATGTACCATGGGGGTCAATGAAATAACACAGATTTTATTCATTAAACGATAAATTGAAAACACATTTGCAAGCTTAAAGGGACACTCCAGATACCCAGACCACTTCTGCCCATTGGAGTGGTCTGGGTGCCAACTCCCACTACCTTTAACCCTGCAACTGTAAATATTGCAGTTTTCATAAACTGCAATATTTACCTTGCAGGGTTAACTCCTCCTCTAGTGGCTGTCTGCTAGACAGCCACTAGAGGGCACTTCCGGGTTTATAGCACAGATTTTCTGTGCTATAACGTCGCTGCCTTGCCCCTTCCACTCTCACCTCAATGAGTAATCTCTGACTGGTGTATTCCTTGGCACAGACTGAAGATGTTTTATTTTGTAGAAGTGCATTAGACAGCCATTAGAGGGCACTTCCGGGTTTTCTGTGCTATAGCGTCGCTGGCCGTCCTCACGCTATGTGAGTACCTCCAGTGTCGCTGAAATACCCAAAGGAAAGCATTGAAAGCGTTTGTTTTTTTGGCACTGGAGAGTCCCTTTAAATGCAAAATATCTGCTATTGGAAAAAAAGTCTCCAAATCATCTTCTTGTTCATCTTGACCTGATTTTGCAATTTGGTTTCAGTTTTACGACAATTCACCGTTTAGTGAATCAAACACTCAGATTTTCATCTCTCACAGGCTTATTCAATAAAGTAAGAACGATTATTAATTCAAAGTGAGTTTCAAATTTTAAGGACTACATAACGGAACCTGGAAATTTTCTCCAAATCAGTTATGCTTCCAGTTTGGCCATGCCTCCCAATAATCCTGCTTTTGGCAGGACAGTCCTGATTTCATGGTCTTGTCCCTCATCTGGAATCACCAGCAGCAGTTCACAAGCAGCACTGTGCAAGAGCATCACTAGACGTTCTAGGATTCTGCAGCGCTCCCTGCATGTCCTAGAAGTAAGGGGCCAGCCAGACAGGCTGTCATACTCCTTCAGTGGTCAGGCCCATCTGTTTTCTGGGTTGACCAGCCTATTAGTCCTGTTGGCAGTGTTGTGAATTGTGTCAGTGATGATGCCACCCTGAGTTGGATTTACATTTGAAAGGCAATTCTATTATACGTTGAATTCTCAACAATTATTACTTTTGCGAATAACCATAGTTAGTAATGTGTTGCGTTACAAGATCCACAATGGCTTTTTTATACCTACACTGATGAAAAACACATTGAAATGTTCTTTAGTTGTATTTATCATTAATACACTGCTGGAAGGAAAATCATTAAAGGACCACAATAGTGCCAGGAAAACAAACTCGTTTTCCTGGCACTATAGGGTCTTTAGATCCCCCCCACCCTCATGGTCCCTCTCATGTCGGCTGAAGGGGGAGTAAGGGGTTAAGCACTTAACGTTCTCCAGTGCCGGGCTCCATCAGCACTGGGGAACTCTCCTCTCTCTTCTGACGTCAGCACTGAATGCGCATGTGCGGCAAAAGCCGCACGTGCATTCAATCAGTCCATAGGAAAGCATTACTCAATGCTTTCCTATGGACGTCAGCATCTTCTCACTGTGATTTTCACAGTGAAAAGCGCGGAAGCGACTCTAGCGGCTGTCAATGAGACAGCCACTAGAGGCTGGATTAACCCTATCGTAAACACAACAGTTTCTCTGAAACTGCTATGTTTACAGCTGCAGGGTTAACACTAGATGGACCTGGCACCCAGACCACTTCATTGATTTGAAGTGGTCTGGGTGCCTATAGTGGTCCTTTAACTAATAAAAGTAGTTACTTCTCCTTAACAAATTGATTTTACAGCATCTAAATATTACATACTACAGGGCGTGACTATTTGTGTGCCTCCCATCAACATTTAGAACTGATTTATATCTAAGAAAAGTGCTGATGATGTCTCATATTGACTTTATTTAATAACGTGAGAACTGCTGCAAATTTTAAATGTAAGGTGTTTATTTGTTTTCTGTTATTAATTCCCTGCAAGTCTCACTTCACAGAGTTCTAAACTAAAATGAGAATTTGAAATTTGAAATTTACTTTGAATTCTCACTTTAGTTAATAACTTTGTTGGTCTTTTATCTCGAAAAACTAAAGATTAAGAAAGATTGCTCTCAATCGTAATATTGTAATTGTATGTTCTCTAAACTAATTAATGGGTTGAGCAGTAAGGATACTTGTATATAGATTAATTTTGGATTGAAGGCTCTGCTGGATAGGCAACTCCAGGATGACAATTACCAAAATGCTGTGTTCTACGCAATGTGGCTCCCGTATGGATCAGAGAAATGTGCTCCACATAAAAGCAGTATGACTTAAAAATTTAAAGGGCTCATGCATATTTCTGTTTCCAAACCGCCTACTGTTAATATAATTTCCCTGGGTCTTGTGGGTTTTACTCTTTTAGTAGCATTTTTATTTTTAGAAAACTAATGAGGAATAAAGTCTGTCTCTTTACAAACACCAGCATCTTTCATAAATGTCCCCTTTTAGAAATGTGTATGTAGTAATTAGCAGCCAGATTTGCTTATCAAATGTATTTAAAATAAAAGCTGATAAAAAAAAAACCTAGAACTGATAATCGCACCAAGACTACAATTCCTTTTCACCAACTCTTATCTACTCCTAGACTGATTGCTTTAATTACTGCATAGTTATTCTTATCACTTCCAAGAAATGTGGATAAACAGCCAGGTTAAACTGTTCATGAATGGATGCAAATATTTGAGATGAAACACATGTATGCTAGGGTTGCCACCTTGCCAGTATTTTCCCACACAGCTGGTGTTTTCGTCTCTCTGGCCAGTGGCGGCATTGCAGAAATAATGTCAATGAAAAGCCTGGAAATAAGTGGGAGCCTGATCTCTGCATGGCCTGGCCCCCTCAAACTGAACACAGTAATAGAAACCTTTAACATTTAAACTGAAAGTAACTGACCTGGAAACATAGCTGGTTTGGTCAGGCTTCTCATGTAGGCCTGAGGTTGTGCAGTCCCCTGGTTGTTGGTCATCATGGTATGCAGGCCTCTGGCTGGCACTGTGAGTGTAACCCAAAAACCTTTCTGTGAGGCTGCCCACATTTATAATTTATCATGCATTTTAGCAAAGCTAACAATTTTTTGCAAGAAAAGAAGCAAACCTGTAGACAACAAATGTTTAAAAACTTTGCCAGAATTATAGCTATAAAATCATTACAGGCGATGTAAGCCACAAGATCTGGTGTGCCAAAGGTTGCCTACACCTGCCCTGCACTATTCCTAACCCAGCATTAGCTCTTACCCTAATATTAAGCCTAACCCCACAACTAACTTGTAGTAGACTCCATTCCCTTATGTTCGGTTGTCTGTACCCCCTTGTTCGTCTCCCGAATGACTGGTTTGTGGTCCCTTGTTATGCCCCAATAAACACCGAACTCCCCTGGCTGCTAACCACAAATTAATAACTTGACACCTTCACTTGAGTGCAGTGGCGTACACATGACCCATGGGGCCCCGGTGCGAAAATTGATCCGTGGGCCCCCCCTCGCTTACTCGGCGCGGGTCGGGGCTGCAACACATGGCGGCGGGCACCTGGTCGCAGGGGTCGCAGGGCTGCGACCCCGCGACCGCAGTATGCACACACACTTAAAGGACCACTACAGACACCCAGATCACATCAGCTCAATGAAGTGGTCTGGGTGCCAGGTCCCTCTAGTTTTAACCCTGCAGGTGAAAACATAGCCGTGAAAACGGCTATGTTTCACTGAGGGTTAATCCAGCCTCTGGTGGCTGTCTCATTGACAGCTGCTAGAGGAGCTTCCGCGATTCTCACTGTGAAAATCACAGTGAGAAGACACTGAACGTCCATAGGAAAGCATTGAGTAATGCTTTCCTATGGGCGGTTTAAATGCGCGCGCGCGCCTCTTGCCACGCATTTGCATTCGGAGCTGAGAGGCGGACACTGGGGAGTCCGACGCTGGAGAAAGGTAAATGCTGAAGAGACACACACACACACTCTCACGAACAGACGCATACACACTCACTTACAAAACATACACTTTCACTGACAAACACACACTCACTAACAGACGAACACACTCAGTAACAGACACACACAGTAACACACTCACTAGCAGACACACACCCAATAACAGACACACTCACTGACACACACACTAACACACGCACTAACACAAACACTAATACACACACTAACACACATACACTAACACACACATACACTAATACACTAACACACACACATACACTAACACACACACACTCATACACTAACACACATACACACACTAACATACACTAAGACACACATACATACTAACACACACACTAACACACACATACTAAGACACACATACACTAACACACACATACTAACACACACACACACACACACACACTAACACACACACATACTAACACATACACACACTAACACACACATACTAAGACACACATACACTAACACACACATACTAACACACACATACACACATACTAAGACACACATACACTAACACACACACATACTAACACACACACACACTAACGCACACACACATTTTTATTTTTTAAATTTAATCCCCCCAGCCTCCTTACCTATTGGAGTGCTGGGGGGATTCCCTGGGGTCCAGTGGTGCTGCTGCTGGGCTCCTGGGCGGGCTGTCTGGGCAGGCGGGCGCGCAAGGGAGCACTTTCCCCTGAGTCCATGCATTTGTGCTGAGGATTCCCTTCCATCCAGCTCTTCATTATTGAGATATGCCTACTATCAATTTATGCCTGTGAGTGCAATCAAACTAGCAGGGATTTGATGTATTTTGGCTATAGTACTCTATGAGTTTTTATTTTTTCTGTTCTGTAGATCTTTCTATTTTTATTGTATTACGAGGACTGGGAGGAGTCCTATTTGCTCTACAGTTCGGAATTAATTAGGTATATGTATACCTGTTTGTGTGTTTGCTCCTTTAATTGGTGATTAGTGTGTTTTGTAAGTCTCTACATTTACCTGTCACAGCACTCTGATTGGTTAGCTTCAAATCCAGCCAATCAGAGTGCTCTATGTCATTTTACACAGCGTGGGAAAGTTCTTTGGAATTTTCCCACGCTGTGTAATTTGACTCATAACTCTCTGATTGGTTAATTGAAAGTAACCAATCAGAGAGTTATGAGTCAAATTACACAGGACACTAGGTCCCCCCCTTATTCTAATTTAGGGCCCCCATCTGCCGCTCAGGGGTGGGGGCCGGGCGGGAGGACAATAGGTCCCTCCCCATTATTTTACTTTAGGGCCCTCACTCGCCGCTCAGGGGTGGGGGCCAGGGGGAGGACAATAGGTCCCCCTTTTATTCTAATTTAGAGCCCCCACCCACTGCTCATGTGTGGAGGACGGAGGGAGGACAATAGGTGCCCCCCCCATTATTTTACTTTAGGGCTCCACCTGCCACTCAGCGGTGGGGGCCGGGCGGAGGACTATAGGTCCCCCCCATATTCTTCTTTAGGGTCCCCACCAGCTGCTTAGGGGTGGGGGCCGGGGGAGGACAATAGGTCCCCCACTTATTTTACTTTAGGGCCCCCATCCGCCCTTCAGGTTAGAAGCCCACACTCGGGTGGCACGGGTGGGGGCTCGGGAGTGGGGAAACGTTTTTTTTGTGAGCAGCCACAGGCTACCTTATAGTATTCTTATAGTATCTTTTTTATAAGTTTTATAAGCTTTCCAGTTATTAGCATCTATTGCTTACTTTTCTAGGTAATTATAGTTATTTACATTTTTAACAGGTCATGCATAAGAACCAAATATGAAGAACTGGTAGCCTTGACATGTGTCCTTCGTAGGTCCATGAAGTCAGTAATAATATCAGAATTTATTTAAAAGGACACTCCACTGCCCAAATACCAAAAACATACAAACTACTGTTCAGTAGATATACCAACAAAATGAAAACATGCATGCATTTAATTATGCATTTTTCATTGGAGGGATATAGAAAAACAGTTGGCAAAAGCAGCAGTTCTCTTGTTTGCGGACTTTGCAACCCCTCCCCCTCTAACCCCGTCCAGACTTTTTGTGGCTGTTGAAATATAGACTTCCCTAAGCAGCTCAATCAGAAATCTTTGCAAGGTAGTTACTTTCAGATATTGCCTGTCATTGAGCTAACCAAACCAGGAAGTAACATGACATGTTTCCTGCTTGAGAACTAGAGGGTGAAACCAGGTTAATTTCTAAAAGTGCCAATTTCTATTGATATCTGCACTTTTTGTAAAATAAAAAAAGACCAAACACTCAAACAGAAAGAATTTCAGCAAGCTAAAGTACTTTAGGGATTCGGAGAGTTGTTTAATGTTTTTGCATCTTGGATAGTTGTTTACTTTCGAATATGTTAATATTGATTTTATATGAATGTCTGTGCACTTGTACCACAATGCACATTGCACTTTATTGATTCCTTCCCCCTACTTCTTTATAATGTGGATTGCCAGTATGAGAGATGAGTTACAATATACTAGTAGACACTTTGTATTATTGGATAAATGAATGAAGTCTATTAATGAGCACCATAGCACTTGTAATAATAAGGAATGTATTTACTATATTGCTGATATATTTCGATACAATTATAAGCTGTTGAATTATCATTTTATATTTAATTGGCATGGTTACTCTATGGTTATGTGATTTACTATGGTTGCTTTGTTTTTGACTGGTCATGTGATTAATCACATGATTTGGAGTTAATTATGTAAGCCTCCTTTCAATTTCCTGTGTATAGGTAGTTATTCAGAGTGTTTTGCAGTAGCTTGATAAAAACATGTAGCTGTGGTCACACCGTTGCTTTTGTGCACTTTGGGCACCTAAATAAAGGGACACTGCTTCATAAGGACATGCTGGAATTTATTGTCTATTTTTTTTTATTGTGTATTGGTTTAGGCGGAACCAGATTCCTTAAAAAGTGTTAGGTGCTGCTCCCATATTTTGTATCTGTATCTTTTCATCAGTAGAAGTGCA